AACTTTAAGTAGTTCCTAAGATAAAGTAAGTTAATTCTAAGATAATAAAATACCTTGAAAAATTATTCAGATTCTACGGTAGATATGAAAGTTCCATTTAACATCAAATTTTAACATGGTTCTGTCAATAGCAAATTAGCAATCAATTGCCTACGAAACTCAATTGTCTACCTTAATTGTCGAGCTCTGTGCTGTTTTTGATGTTACTCGATCTTGCTGCACTGATCAAGTATTATGCGAAACATTCATATATATATATTGAAATTTATCAATAAATTTGAATAAATAACACCACACCTTGTGTACCCATTAAATATTAATTTAGTCATTATTATCATCTAGCCATTTGAAACAAAGAACTAACAGAGTACGCCGATCTCATTCTTCTTCTACCTTTTACAATACGTTGAATAAGCACTTATATTTGAAAGTAGGTCGTAAATTGCATTCACCTTACTTGGTACTTCATTACTGATTAGTTTAAAAAAAAAAGAATTAGGGCACGTCCTAATTTAAAAAGTGAAAGAAACAAATAAAACGTCATCCTTTCTCCTGAATCATTCTTCCATATGCAAACTTCGAGGTCATACGTTGTTTGTCTAGTATTATGTGCAAACCAGTTTATTAGCTTATTAGCTAATTAAATCAATATTAACTATCCTTTAACGAAGGCGGCTCTTATTATTGTAAATTAATATAAATTTTGATTGTTCCAGTTTTATTTTGAACTTTTATTTCTTGCAAATTAATCTTTTAAATAATTCCATTATTTAAGAATGTTGATTGTCAATTGGTGAAATTGACAATTGTCAATTCACTCGCGATTACTTTCAAATAGTACAGGACAATATCCAAAATCGTGGTAGGTACAACCGGATGAAAGATAACGAAAGCAAGTTGAGAATGTAGAATGAACTTTTTTTTTTTTTTACATAAGATTACGTATCCAAGGAAATAAATTGAAAAAAATTAGTAACATACGCCTGTAACTGATTGAGTGCGATAAAATTAATGGATCGTTTTACTGCTGATTACTTTGTAATGTAATACGAGTTTTTCCTTTCTTTCGATTGTAATAAATGGAATAACATTTTCGAATGAAGGAAGGAAATACGAAAAGGATATAACATGTCACTAAACGATGTATATAGTATCTCGTTATATACTTTATTTTATACGAAAGGCCCGAATATATGTTTCATCCACTTTTCATCTAATAGGTATACATACATATATCCACAAATAACTCATTATAAAAACTGGTTTCAAATGTGTATCTTTTCCAAAATAATGATACTTTGTTGCATCAATTATACAATTCTATACAAAATCGAACATTGTAACTTATTTAATTATATGAAATTTGTTCGTATCGGCTCAACAACCAGGAACTCTGTCTCTGTAATTACAACCATTGAACGATGGATCAAAAACGAGTCCGGCCCCGCAATGGAACGTGTACTTCGTAAATTGACCGTTCACTTTTTGACAAAGATAGTATGTATTACAGTCGTGTGGATCGCGAATATAACCGTCGCGTTTGCATTTAACAGCTGTAACAGATGTTGGTGATGGTTCTGGTTGTGATGGTTCTGGTTGTGATGGTCGTGGAGGATCTACACTAGGGTTTGGTTTTTGCGAAGGTGAAGGGCCTGGAATATATCCTCTCAAAACATCGTTTATAGCTCTCAGAAGTGGATACTTCTGGCCACAATTGCCACGGAAATCATCGGTCTCCACACTCCAAATCATGGCACCACCAAGACCTAAGGCCTTGATAAAATTAACCTTTTCCCGAACAGACCTGGAAACATACAACATTCCATATATATACATATATATATATACCTCTTTTTCAACATTTAATCGATATTATTATACAGAGCGACTCATTTATAATATACATCTAAATTATTTCCGTTACTATCGAAAGTAAGAATACAATTATAATTTAAGTGTTGCGTCGCAATTAACATGAGGGTACCTCAGTCTGACGGTTAAATGTGACTAATGAATTTTATGACGATAATCCGCCAGACTGAGGTTTCCTCACATTAATTCCAACGCAACAAAGTGAGGCACCCTCTATCGTTGTTCTATAGTAAACACTTACTGGACGTCGTCATATCCAATCCACTGATTGCCTTTAAAGGTGTAAGGGACGCGTTGTTCATTATCGCGTACTACCGTCCAACCACCTTGACCAAAGTTACTACAGATCTCGTTATAACCGATCATGCCAGCTTCTCGCGTATACGGTCCAGCAGTTCCAGCACCGATGGTCGGTGCTCCTACCCCATTGTTTCCAGGATTCGCTAAAGTGAAGGACCTACCGTAGGCGGGAATACCGAGAATGAGTTTGTTGGCTGGCGCGCCTTGCGAAATCCAATAGCGAGCAGCTGAATTCTGAAATGTACAATTGTTCCTTGTATCAAAATCCAAAATAATCGATGTTAATTTTACTATGATATCATTCATCAAATAATCGTTAATTTATGCATACCGCGTTGAGCTTAGCTTGATTTCCCGATTCGCGGGATGAAGCATACAGAGGAGCGTTGATCCCAGTGTTACTGTTCCACGATCCGTTCAAGTCATACGTCATCAGGTTAATGAAGTCAGCATATTGAGCTACTTGCGAAATTAGGTAGGACTGGGAAGCAGATGATTCTGCAGCACCGACTGCCACACTAAGCAGGAAACCATGCTTATTTAATTCCTGTCTCAACTCACTCAGCAGGTTCACGAAATTCTGCTTATCGGCTGCGTTACCACCGCGCTGGTTGGGATATTCCCAATCGAGGTCGAAACCGTCGAAATTGTAGGTTTTGAGGAAGTTGACGACGTTCTGGACGAATCGAGAACGGATAGCAGGATTTGAGGCCATTTGAGAATATTTGATAGATCCCTCGTTCCAACCACCCATCGCTATCATAGCCTTGGTACTTGGACTCAACTCTCGGAGTTTAGTGAATTTACCGAAACCATTCAATCCGGACGGAAGATCCAGCCAACTATCTAACACTTGAACGTTGCCATCGGCGGAGAGGCCAACAAACGTGTAGATAATATGTGTGCATAGCGTTGGATCGATATCTGTCACCTCGAACTTGCCGGGTCCAGGACGATAGTTTGCCCAGCTACCATAATAGCAAACTATCTTTGCTAAATAATAATAAAAAATTATTACGTATAAGCCGTATAATCTCGTAATCAGACAAATCAATTATTTCTATAATCCGGTGGATTTTCGCTTTGTTACCGATAGTGGTATTTTATCGATTGTAAGAAAAGGGCACCTTGAGATCGTTACCTTTATCAGTAATTATCTGATACTTACAGTTTGCAGCAGAGCACATCGTGGCAAATGCCAGGAAGGCAGCCAAAACTGCTGTTTTAAACATCTGCAAATGAGAAATTTTTCAAAGGTATTAAAAACAAAATTAAACTATAGAATATAGTTTACCATTGCACGTACGAAAATAATTATCACCGATATTATAATGCTCTACAGTTTCACGCGGTACTCAAACGACAACGATTACTCGATCGTATTTATATCGATATCCGAATGTAATAACTGATATTTTTTATAACGGGTTCTTATCAATTTCTCTACGTTCTATTGTTGTACGAAAAGAATAACAATAAAGGTGATAAAAAGTATTTGACAAAATGTGTTCAGTATTTTTACCTACTTAGAAATATCTTGATAAACGATATTCAATTGCACTTAACTTGTATTTCATTGCAAACTGTGTTACTAATGACAGAAATGCAAGATAAAAATATTCTGTTATCTTAAGGGAGCAGACGTAGAAAGGTGTTCTCTTTTTCGAAAAAAATTAATATATTCATAACATCGAACGTCAATGAATAATAATTATGTTTATCTTCGCAGAATTCTTTTGAATTTCTGGGTTACCACAGGTGTTCGCAAGAATGCTGATATATCGCGCTACTAGTAAATTGTAAAAGTGAAATAAAACAAAGGTAAACCAAATAAAACTTGTAATTCTGTGATAGGTCACAGATAATGTTGCAGTGCAAATCAAGTAAGAGATTTTGAAACATATTCCGTAAAAATATATCGAACAGCTAACATAGTAAATGTTATCCAGATTTGCCGGCACGCGTATAATTCTAATTTTGTCTATCGCTTAATGTGTGCAACAATTAAATATAAAACAAATGTAGGTTAATATTAAGATTATTTACCTGATTGGGGATTACAATGTCAAGGTGTAATCGATTCTGTAATGATATCTGAGAAGATATCGAACGACTCGTTATATCTTGATCTCGGCAGCTATTGTAATTTCGTTTGTCGTATGTCACATATCGACATTGCCTGCGCTTTTTTAAACAAAATTGTTTAACTCAGACCTCTTTATATACTAAAATCATGCTCCCCAATTGCAAACAGTATACGTTATCAGCAATGTATCAGCATTTTCCTTTCTTTTTATCTTATAGGTCTTTCTTCTTCCTGGTAACCGCTATCAACCGCTCATAACTTCCTACCAGTGACCGCTTATTTATCGATCAAGGTAAATTAAAGATAAATATTTGATGTTAGTAGATCTGTCGATTTTTTCCATGAATGACAAGATTATAATAATGAGAAATTCTGTTAAGAATTTACAAGTTTATGACGCTATACGTTTACTAAATATTAAGTTTAAAAATTGTATAACGTTACGGGAAAAAATACCTTGCTGTGTTTATCAATCTTTTGATTAAATACACAGGAAGGTGATACATCATTACACATGGGAAATACCATATTTCGGAAACCTTATTTATAGACCTTAAGGCGAGAATTCATTTGTGTTATTATTTCATACGTTTAAACGTGGGTTTTTGCATTAGGAAAATCAATAATTAAAAACTTATATACTTATAAATAGTTTTATTTAAACATACATTTTACATAAATTTTTAATAATATTTCAACAAAACAGCAAAGGAAATGAAAAATAAGATTATTTAAATCTTGCAACTGGCATAAATTTTAGAGTCTACGATACTTTATTCTCTGATTATTCCTTTTCATTGCTTGTTTACGAACATATCTCCAATATTGTTTTGTATTTGGATCTAAATCTTCTAGTTTTAATGGTTCAGTTCTGATATTCCATATCCATTCAGGATATTCAGAATCTGGCTTCAATTTCACATCTTCTCCATCATTATAAATGTTTGATCCACATACATAAGTTATTAATTTATTGACATCTTTTTCCACTGGTATATCTATCTTTTGCTGAACTGCTTTAGCTGGCTTCTTCTTATCAACTGAAAAATGAAATAAAACCACATTTTTCAATACTAACATGTATATTATTTCAAAATTTATACAAAGTTTGATTACATGTAATTTAAATATTAAAAAACAAACACATTAATGTTTATTTTGACTTGTTATAAAATTTTAGAATAAAAATAACAAGTTTTATAAAATAAGGAGTATGAACGTGTGACATAACCTCTATTTTAGTAGGATTATAGGAATACTTAAATTCCACGTAATAATTCGATTGAAACGTATATTTACCCGCATAATTTTTGGTTTGAATCACATATTGCGCTGGAATAATAACATTTTCTCCAATTCGGCACAATCGTAAAATGGACAGAAGAGACATGTTATAATAACAATCGTAAACAAATTCTAAAATACTAAATTCCCCAGTATCATTCCATATGTAACCGCTAATTAATTTAGTCAATGCTAAATTAT